TGATAATTTTAATTATCTAAGTAACGTAAAATGACTGTACTGTAATTTATTAGATCTTCAAATTTTAAATTTTATACCATTAATATTTGAATCGCATGATATATCGTGTGACGAAAAAATTGAAGAAATGTTGTTATACAGTATAAATATATTTAAGTTTGGAATATCAAACGTATAGAATACCGCAGCGTCATTACAATTCCGAAATAATCGCTGGAAGTAACATCTTCTCTAATCAAGAAAATCTTTGATATCAACGCGTAGAACGCGTCGTTGTGTAGAAAGAACAAGAAAGATTAAACTTTTACTGAACACAATATTTTCTAACTAATTCCATAACTTCATTAATAATCTCTATTTATCACCTATTCTCCGCTAGAAGATTCTACACACATAATAAAATCGAATAATTTTATACACTGTGAACACCGATTATTTCGAGATATTTATATCATTTGAAAAATAAGAAAACCGAATATTGAATTTTAAACAATTAAAATTTAATTATTCCATCTTCATCCAACAATAATACTTATAATTAATTATTAATGTAACTTTTTAATTGATAATTATATTCAAACTTAGCAATTTTCGCCACCGTGTGCTTTTTTATTACTAAAAAAAAAAAAAAAAAAAATCATAATCAAAGTCAAATATCGAATTTTATATAATTAAAAGAATATATTTAATATATCCTCACGATAATAACCAAAATAAAAATAAATTATTATCACATTCTTTAATTGACAAAAATTACCAATTATCACTATATACTACCAACCTATTTTCCCATTAAGTAAAACCACAATGATATGTATGATTTTCGATTTAATAGAAATGCAATTAATTATTGTATAATACGTAAAAACTGACGTTAAAAGTGTTAATATTTCAATCACCGCACTGTTAATTCTCCATGGAACTTGAAAAATAGAATTTCGATGATCGAAATGAAAGATCCAATTGTAAAGGGAGCGCGCACGATTCGACAAATAAAAATGCGAGCACGTTTCCCTAGCACCTTGAACGCCGCAAGTTCCGTAGCTCACTGAGTGAAAAACGCGCGTCTTGAATCTGTCTTTTTCTTCTGCTCTTTGCTCGCATACGTCACATACATGCTTAGACCGTTTACATGTGCACCGGCTCTTACATAAAAACGTG